CGAGGGAAGCAGAAGCAGAGAGTACGGCCATCTCAGGACCGAAGAGAAAGAGAGTCGGGGAAGCGGCGGTGGGGGGGAAGAAACGGCGACCAGGCACTGCTGTAGAAGCGAGTAGGGCGGCCGAGGCAGCACTTGTGGTGAACTTTGTCCCCGACTGATGTTGTTGCGCCCTGTTTCCCTCCCTGCTGTATGCTATACTCCTTTATGTATGTCCTTTGTATTGCCTTCGGCTTCTGTGCTGTGTTTCTTTTCTTTTCATGACCTCCCTGCCTACTCTGCTGTGTTGGGTACCGTGATCTCGCTTTGCTGTTGCCTTNCTGATGTTGTTGCGCCCTGTTTCCCTCCCTGCTGTATGCTATACTCCTTTATGTATGTCCTTTGTATTGCCTTCGGCTTCTGTGCTGTGTTTCTTTTTTTTTTCATGACCTCCCTGCCTACTCTGCTGTGTTGGGTAACTTGATCTCGCTTTGCTGTTGCCATTGTTTTTTGTACGCCTGGCTGTCTGCCCATCTGCCGCCTCTTTGTCCTGTTTGCTCCGTTACTCCCATGCCCTGGTGCGTAGTGCCTGGTGCTGGTACGTTACCCTTTGATTTTTTCTTTGGGCGGGTGTGGGAAGCGTCCTCCTTCGTTTTTTTTTGTTTTATTTTGATCGGTTTCCGAGGGCTCTTTTCTCGAACGGTCGGTGCGATAACTGTTCTTTTCTTTCTATCATTTTGTTTTCTTTTTCCGAGTGGTTTGTACCCTATTTTTGTTTTTTGTTTTCTCGCGGCGTCGCATGTGCCGGGTCTTGAGACCACGGGCTCCCCGTTTTTGTGGACTATAGAGCTAATGTGAGAAACAACAACAACAACAACAACATATCTAGCCTAGATACGTGTTTCAAGTTTTCACCACGTAATTATTTTTTTGGCTTTTGGAAGACAAGCGATGGTAGACCCTGCTCACTGGTTGCGCATTTTAAGTTCACATCAAGCTTCTGCTCATAAGCGGTGCTGTTGCTGTTGTTGCTCACGTCTCCCTGAAATGATCAACACGCCACGGGCGATATGCAGGTGGGCGAACGCGAAAAGTGCAGGGATCGAGTGACCGCCACCGCAAATGATGGCTCTTGTAACTTCATAGTCCGGTTTACTTCCGACGCGACAAACGAGCGGTTGGGAGGCGCCCAAAGTGACCAATCCTTGTGAGATAATAGGACGTGGTGTTCCTCGCTGAATTCAAGTAAACACCATCCGAACCCACCACAAAAGTAACAACAACCCATCGACACTTTAGTGAGACATCAAATCAAGATCACACGGGCCCGGCGTCCCGAAGTCTTGGGGAAATATCCAGCAGGTCCACGACTGTATATTAATCAAGTCAGCCTTGTACAGAGAAAATCTCCTCTAAGGATCCTCTGCACCATACGACAACAATGTCAACAACGACAACAGCAACGAGCAAATCAGCAGCGACAACGATAGCGACGACGGCAACACCAAGTCTAGCACACGTGATAGGTTTTCTCACTCCACGAGCCCCCCGGCGACGTGAACGGCGGTCGGTCCGTCGACGAACGTGGCACCCGCCCCAAACTAGACGTAGCTCTTGCTGCAGAATGTGCTCTTCCCCCAACCCTGAAGGATCGTCTTGCAAAAGCGATGGGGTTGGCAGGAAGGTTGAATGTGAAGCTATCGTTTTCGGGTCGACGATCCCGCCGTGCCCGCCTATTTCCTTCAGTTAACAACCCCGCTGCTTTTGAGCTGAAAGAGGTCTTTGGGGCTCTAAACAGTACCGTACAAGCGAGTGAGGCGAAAAATCACATTTCTCAGACCGCGGCACGAGAACTTGTTACAACAGGTCAACAACGATTTTCCAACGAGGTATAACGTTCTCGCGGTACCTCCACAGGCACCTTCCGAGGTTTTTCACATGTTTCGAAAAATTTCAACGTACATCCACAACGACTGGCGGTGCCGACCACACCGTTTTTGTAGCAAGTCGAACATGCTGGTGACTCGTCCTGTCGAAGAAAAAGAAGCGGAAACACCACCGCTGCTGTCGGGAATGTTACCAATTACGCATCGACACGAGGTGGCTTAGATGTTTTCCGTAGGGTCGACGGGGCCGCGTCCTCACGAATGTAGCGGACAACCCCCCCTCGAGGGTCTTCCGCGCTCAAACGCACAAAAACCGTGCATGAAAGCAGATTCCAACATCGCCAGAAAAACAAGGCTGCAAAAGACGACGACACTCCCCCCGTCTCTGAAGTAAGCCCGCATACCGTTGTTGCTTGCAAAATTGGCTGCTGCGGAGAAGAACATCAGACTGTCCGCTCCCCGCCCGTTGCACAAGCTTGTTAGAAAGGCTTATCCCATTAGGCAAGTCCTGACTTGGTAGTCTAATGGGATAAGCCTTTCTAGCAAAGCTCCCACTCTCGGCTCGTAGCCACCCGGCTGGTCACTGGGAATTTAGAAGTAAGGATCTCCGGGAACGGACCCCTCGTCAGGCGCTGCAGGAAAAGACCTAAGGGTGCTTGTGAAAGTAACCATCTGGGATTCGAACCCGTGTGTGTATCACTTGTATATAATAATGGCTTACCCCAATAGACTACTTTGTTATAATCGGTTACCCCATTAGAGGTGTAGTCTAATGGGGTAAGCCATTATTATTTACAAGTGATACACACACGGGTTCGAATCCCAGATGGTTACTTTCACAAGCACCCTTAGGTCTTTTCCTGCAGCGCCTGACGAGGGGTTCGTTCCCGGAGATCCTTACTTCTAAATTCCCAGTGACCAGCCGGGTGGCTACGAGCCGAGAGTGTACTTTTGTTAGAAAGGCTTATCCCATTAGACTACCAAGTCAGCCAGCCGGGTGGCTACGAGCCGAGAGTGTATCTTTCGTTAGAAAGGCTTATCCCATTAGACTACCAAGTCAGCGGCTGACTTGGTAGTCTAATGGGATAAGCCTTTCTAACAAAGCTCCCACTCACAACAACCTGGCAGCAACGCAAAGACGAGAGAAATATCAGCAACGCAGTTGTGGCTCGGGCTTCTTTGATTCATTCTGTCGCACGAGACGATAATGATCTGCCGCAAGCGAGGTGGTCACAGCCCTATGGACTGGGCCAATATCCGAAACATATCGTACGTGGGACGCCACCCCGATGAAATCGCGCTGAAATATCATACACATACACTATCGACAAAGTGAGAGGTGGGTAGAGTGATTCAGATGAGAAATACAGAGGACATGAGACAAAGCAAGAGAGAGAAAGAAAGAATGACAGATAGATTGAGAGAGCGAGAGAGAGAGCGAGAGAGAGAGAGAGAGAGAGAGAGAGA